CAGTTAGGAAATCAAAACACAAAAAAGAAGGGAGGTGATTTAGCCAAAAACACTGGTTTTGCTCCAGCTCCCAATTTTAAATCAATACAAGTCTGTTTTCCTATACCAACTTAGGTTACTATTTTATCTGGCAGCATACAAATATGAGTAGAGCTAGACAATCATAGAATGGTTAAGGGTGGAAAGCACCTCAAGATCATCTAGTTCCAAACCTCCTGCCATGCTGTCTGTTGGACCAAGGCCCTTATTCCCCTATTTTCTACACAGAGATGTAAATGGACAAATCCTCAGAGCTACAGCTTGTCAGAGGGTGGCAGGACAAAGTCATAAAGAATACTTGAAATAGAGTAGCACCTCCAAAAGTGCACTTGGGATAGTGCAAGTGTGTGATATGTGTGCAGGTGTGCATCTATAAAGGAGCACTGTCTAAAAACTTACAAAGTATAAACTCCTCTTTTGCTTTCTGCAGATGGTAGTCCTTTAGTGCATTCCTGTACGTATGCTTTGTGAACCTCCTTAACCATCATACCATCAAAACAGTTAGCATTCTGCTGTCGTAATGGGTGCTGATTTTGCACAGCTCTTGATACGGTTAAGTGTTCCCATGAAGGGAAGAACTGACTTCAGAATTGCTTCCATTTCCTAGCATATCCTAGACATAACTAGAAACATATATACTGAACTCTAACCATGTTGGTGTTGATAAATATTTTACAATTATCTGACACTTGCTGCAAGTATGCATGATCTTTGCCATGAAGCTGCATCCTGTAGGTCCCATAAAAATGGGAGAACCCTTCATTGACTCTCCCTATGATAATGTTAATAAAGGAGCAGTTACTATAAATGAACAGTAAAAATACAGAAAAATTACCACTCACTGTGGTGAGTCAGTTAATAAAATAAAAATACATTAAATAATTACAGTGTTTAAAAGGTAAAAATGGCATGACAGAAACTACTCGGTAGAATGTTAGACTTGTTCCCTGAGACATGAGAGTGTATAGCTTACTGTAAATTATTTAATTCTTATGACCCTTTGACTTATGTACTCCCATAAATGTACTGACATGTTTAGTCATTTTAAACCTGTCTGGGTGAAATTGAAATGCAGAAATTTTGTCAGTCAAATGAGTGCCCCAGTAACCCTGGTAGCATGTCAAGTCACTGCGAGGAATTTGGGGCAGGAGGATCTTTTGGAAAGCGTGAGCTGCTTTTTCACATGATATTTTATTAGTATTTCTTAGGCAAATGCTTCTGTATGAGAAGCTAAAATAAGTAGGTACCTTTGATTTCTAATTAATATTTAATTTTCTAATGAATATTTTAAAATCTTTTGTTAGAACAACTGAAAGAGCACCTGGAAGGGATGATGGACTTTGCTGTGAGTGAAAGCATGTCAGCTGTGAATATTGAACACTGCTATGTAACTGGGAATAATATTATTCATGACAATCAGAATTTTGGTATCTGGGAAGAAAAGCTGAAGATGTAACTGCGCCCATTCAGTGCTTACTTCACATTCAGCTATCAGTTTATTGGGAAACATTAAATATACATTGTTAACTTCTGATCAGTGAGAAGTAGGCATACAAATCTTCATGTTCTATTTCTGCTGGGGTTTATTCTTCATTTTCACATTGGTTAAAAGCTGAAATTATCTCAGTTTGTTGCCCATTGTGCCTTTAGTTTTTTCTTGGTTTCTTGCTTTCAGTAAACGCTACTTTTGTCCTTTTTGCCAAAAACATTTGCGTATTTTTGTTATGTTGACACTCAGTCATGAAAAAGGTCAATGAAATGTTTCCCATTTTTTCTTACTGTTTATCATAAAATAGCTATCACAAAGTATTGTGACACAAATATGCTTTATTTGATAGAGTGGAAATTTCTGCTTTCCTCATGTGTAAGATGAGGCCACTACAGCATTTTTTATTTCACCCCATATCTCTATGGGGCAAAGTTCCTGGTCCCCCTGCCATAATGGAACTGAGGTTCACCTTGGGTTACAGTAACTTCTAAAAATAAAAGGAGTAACACTGGTGCTTCATTCCCATTCACAAATGGAAGACTGGAATTGTTAATAAACACCAAGTGTTCTTTTTCTTCAGCTGTCTCCAAAGAACAAGGAGAAATGCCCTACTTCAGTCTCCATGATTAATCCTCTTCTCTATTGTTCCAAGTGTCATTTCTGTCCTGCTCCCCTACAGCAACTGTCTCTGTGGTGAGATTGTGATCATTCCTGTGCTCTTTAGAGAATTCGCTGTCTTTTTACTTTTTAGTATGAATGTGAAAGGTTCACAAGTCTTTATGCTAGCAGCAGTCCAAAATCAAAAGTATACATTGGAAAGTTATGTTTGAACACCCTGAAAATGGTTCGTTGGAAGTCAGTTGTTTGTGAATTCACACTGGTTTTGATATTTTCAATCACTGAGCGTTTTCCTTGACACCATGGCACCTATCATGCCCAGCCTTCCCAGGGTACAGAGCAGGAGAAAATGGATTATGCCCTCAACAATAAAAGGCGAGTCATTCGACTGGTTCTGCAGTGGGCTGCTTTATATGGAGATTTACTACAAGAAGATGAAGCAGCAATGGCCTTTTTGGAGGTATAAAGGAATTGTATCATTGTACTGAAAAGTACCTACCATGCAAGATAAGCTGAAAGCCTGTTTCTAGTCTGTAGAATTCGGTTATGAACTAAAGAGAAATAAGTCATTTCAAAGTGCAAACTCTTAACTGTTTTATCTGGTTTAGCTGCAGACAGTATACACACTACAACAGTGGTTGAACCATTGTCAAACTCTGGACGTCTGAAAATACCTGCCAGAGTTGCAGACCCCTTTCAAAGCACTGCATGGGTAGATACTTTATAGCAATAGATAAATCTGCTTTATTTTTTAGTATTTTTCTTGTGAATAGCTCAGAGGCTGTCTGGGTTGAACTGGGGGTCTGTTTATGCCTTCCTGAGGTGTGCCAGGAAGGAAGGTGGAAGGTTCTCACTCTACAAAACCAATAACCCATTTCATTTGAATGAAAGCGGTACTACAGCAAGTGGAACTTAAGATCTTTGTCCTCAGAACCCTTCTGATCCCTTAAAATCATTTAGTAATTCAAACATTGCTTGTATGGTATGTGCTACAGTCTTGTATCTGTAAGGTAAAATGCATTGCCAAAGTCATGTTAAGTTGTCATCATTGCAGTTATTATTATATGTTGTATTTATGGAACACGATCATATATGTTACTGGCTGCATGGACGGTCTTGCCCCAAATCATTTAAAAGTGAATCTAATGTAAGAGTTAGGAGAGGGGAATAGAGAGAGGTCTTAAGTAGGACAGACATAACAGCAAGCCCACATGGGAAAGCTTTTTATAATAGGAAAGCTTTGGAGACATAATCTCTTTCATTAGTCCAGAAGTTACAGAATAATTACTAGTTGCAATCATATAGATCCTTCTTTGGGATAGTGTGATGTAGGTCTGTGGCAGGAAGAGATTTGAGTAGGCTTTAAAAGAGGTAGTATTCTAGTGGATTGGAGAAGGTGAGACTCAACTCCGTAACAAATGAATCACTAAGGATTACAACATCTGTGGGTTAAAAAAAGCTATCACACCAGATTATCTGTGAATTTTATAGTCTACTCTTGATAACCTGAAAATGCAGCTTTTGCACAAGCTGTCAATGGTTACACAGTGTGCAAGGGAGCCTCATCAGGCTTCCCTTCTGCATGTGTAACTTGCTTTAAATCAGCTGGAGATAAACAAGTAGAAGTAATAGAGGGTTGAGCCCAGCATGTGTTCCTCTATGCAGATTACAATTCTTTATAATCATTAAGCGATCAGATGTCATCTCATAATCCTCTATCCTGAGTACTGCTTGTTTACCCCTATAGTTATTTAAAGACTATTTTGTATCATTTACAGGAATTTTATGTATCTGTATCAGATGATACTAGAATGATTGCAGCACTAAAGGAACAACTTCCAGAGCTAGAGAAAATTGTAAAGCAAGTGTAAGCACAGTTTTTGCTTCTTTACTCCCCCACCCTTTTTGTCAGTAAATAAATGAATAAAATTTATTGCTTATATCTCTTAAAAATCCATTCTGTGAATGGCAGTCATACAAGATTAAATGTTTGCATGCAAGTTTGTTTGAATGAATGTCTATGGCTCTCTCTTTCCACATCATTCTTGCAAACGCCAAAATCTTGTTGAAAGGTTGACAGAAGGAATAAGAAATTATGTACACACCACTGAAACTAAACTGGATGCTTATTTCATGCTTACATGGACTTTGTATGGTATTTTCCCTGCATAGTCATAGATAACTATGGTGTCATTGAGTCTTTTCATACATGCAAACATTAATACGTTGATACTGTAGTTTGACAAGTGGTCTATGTTCTATGTGTGATTTTGTATACAAAATCTTCCCAATAATATATAATTACATGTTCTGTGATTTACCTTTTGATAGTTCTGAAGAACCTAAAGCACAACAGAAGAAGGTAAGATAATATATTTTTTTCCATTTTCTAAAGTCAGAGCTTTAGCACAGCAAATCCATAAGCATCTACTCTTTAGAAATCATGGATATATTAAAACAACACATTGAGAAATAGCTTTTAACATTGTCAAATTTTGCATTGCTACTCTTTTTCCTGTCATTGAGAAGAGACTATTGTAGTTCATGTCTACCCCATAATGTTTCTTTTTGCATTAATTTGAATCCTGATGATTCATTTTCAGCACAAAGTTCTTCTGCAGCTGTTCAACACAAGTGATGACAGAGCACAGAAACGCCAGCCTATCAGGGGTAGCGATGAAGGTGAGTGCCTTCTGTGCAGAGTTTTCTTGAGCCACTGAGATTTGCAGTAAATTTGTCTCTCACCCAAAATGGTCTTAAAATAAACAGAAACACCTACCTACGTTTTTGAAGTCTGATCTGAAGGAAACTCTGCTTTTGCTAGCCCAATATTCTCCACCATTGATTTGAAGTGTCCTGGTCTTTACCCTTAGTTACTTGTGCTATCAAACACTGTGCTTCCTCAGATAGAGACACCTTTAAAATAGGGAATGAACGAACCAGGTAAGAATCAGCACAGACACTGTTCTGCAGGTAATGGCAGTGCAATAAATAGTGGGTGCTGAAGGTCATGTTTGAGACTCTGTCTCCCCTATGTAGTTTAAACTAACAAGTACAGCTGTTCCTTTGAGAGACAGAAATGGAGGAGATAATCGTGCCATGGATTTCTGCCCTGTGGCACACTGCCTAGAAAACAAAATCTGCTGGTTTGCCCTATTCTCTTGTTTCATTCTCTGAAGAGATTAAGATAAAGTTTAGAGCAGTGTATCAGAATAACATTTTCAGTTGTACTTGCTTTTAATGTTTTCTTTTACTTCAGGCAGCTTAAAGCCCTGCTATGTGAGCAAAATCCTGAGCTCTGCTGATGAGATCTGTTCATTGCTTATACAAAGATACATGCTCCTTAAACTTCATAAATCTGATGATGTCTTTGGAACTGCTAGGACCAGTCTCTCGATAGTTGTTTTGGTGCATCTTCATCACAGAAAATAGCTTCTTTTTCAAGGTGTTTGATATTAAAGGATAGCTCTTGCTAGTGAACAGTAGTAAAAAAAGGGAACAAAATACAAGGTCATATAGCTGAGAAAGCTGATGGCATAAATCAAACCAATGAAAGAGCTATTTCAAAGGCTGGAAGTAACTGTGTGTGAACAGCAGATATCCTGCCAGGCGTACAGTTTCTGTTGTCCATAACAGTGTCTCTTCTAGGTCTACAAAAGAGTGAAACAGTTGCTGCTGCCAGGAAAGTGCAACTTGTGTCTGTGGGGATAGGCAGTAACTGCCCTTTTCCTGTTGCTGTGTGGAACTGGCAGGGCACTGACCATAGAATTATCCATGGACAGCTCATACCCCAGGGGCTGCTTGGCTTGGCTTGAAGGATCTAGAGCTTTCTCTCTTAAAGTCATGTCACTTTGAGCTGCCTTGCTTTTTGCAGGCTAATGTACATAGCATGCTAATGTAGGCTAAGTGATACTGATTTCTAGGCAGCCAGAGGCCTGGATTAGTGTATTGCTTTGTGAGCCAATTTGTACTGTACACTCAAGTGTATTCTTATTTTCAGGGTATTTTTATTCTTAGTCCACAACATTCTTGATTCAGGAATTACATACTTGCTTGTACAAACCAGGTTGCAACACAGCTGGATTTAAGTTCTGATTTTAACAAAAACTATTTTCACATCTATTTTGTAAATGTGAAAATTATTTTCCTGTAATTAAGAGAGTTTGCAGCCAGTTTTCTGACTTGAAAAGAAGTATTAATTTAAAATATTATAACGTCTGGAACATAACAAAGTGCCAGATTAAATTGGCATCCATAAATAACATAGCAATACTGAAACACTCATATGCATGGTTTGCTAAAAGCTCTGGGAAATCAGAGATTTCTGCCCTAGAAACTGTAGAACATCTGAGGAATGGGGAGCTATCAAACTTGTAGTGATTTATTGTTGCTTTGTTTCGTTTGTGAGGAGTGGTTACTGAAGTGATAGTAGTTTGTACAATGAAGTCTCTGTGGTTATTACATGTGACATGCACAGCACATTTTTTTTTTCTTTAGTTCTGTTTAAGGTGTACTGCATAGATCAAACCTACACCACTATTCGGGTGCCAGTTGCTTCCTCTGTGAAGGAAGTGATCAGCGCAGTAGCAGATAAGCTGGGATCTGGAGAAGGCCTCATCATAGTAAAGATGAGCTCAGGAGGAGGTATTGTATTTGCATATCTTAAACTCTTCTTGCTTACAGTGAAGCAGAGCTTTGGAGGGGATTGAAAGACTAAGTCAGTCAAGGCTTTTTATGTCAATGTGCATGTTCAGGTTCTGACTCAGAGTCAAGACCTTTGCCTGCTGCAGGCACAGGCTGAAACTCATATGGGAGACAGGAAAAGCTTGTGTATCTGCATGTTAGAGAGCAGAGCTACCCCAGGTTTCCATCACTGCAAGGGATTTTAACAATAGAAATAGGAGGTAAATGTGGGTAATGTCAGGCTAGACATACAAATCAGCAACAGCAGAAAACACGGCAGTGCAGACATTCCAAGACTGGTCACTACCATTCTGGCTGCTCGGTCCATGCAAACCATTACTGAGCAACTTAGTGCCAAGCCCACTGACCTAGTGTTTGCAAGGGGTCAGGAGTCAGGCCCCCACTGTAGGCTGTGGGAATGGGAGAGTAACTGCAAGGTGAATTCTGCTGCAGAATTGGTGTTGGTGAAGTGCTCTGGTTGAGTGTGAACGTGTGGACACCTGTGTGGACACACAGAGAGCTGTGTTTGAAGGCATTTTTGCAAACAGTGGTGCCTGCCAAAGCCAGCTCACTTCCTGAAAACCGACACCAGGCGGCTCTCCTTTTTGCAGTTGCAGCAATACTTTATTGTCAGATTTCCTGAAAGGCAGCACATGCTGGAAGAGACTGTGTTGTGTTACTTTATTATCTTTTCTTTACCTGGGAGTAAAAGCTCTTTCAGAACTGCTGTAATGAGATTTGAATACAGTTGCATTTCATCACCTCCTTATGCAGTTACTGTCTTCTAAGGCAATTTCTATTAAGAATAGCTCTCTGAATGCTCACAGCTCAGAGAAGAATGAATGGAGTCCCTAATTATGGTTGCTTTTTGCAGGCAGTTTCTAGAGATGGCAGCACAGGCTTCTTGACCTGTCTGTAGAGTCTGGGGCAAAGATTCTGGTGACATATTCCAGTTTCATAGGAGACTGGTTTGGGCTGAGCTTGTTGTCACATTTCTTCAATAAAGAGGACCTTGTTGTTATCTGTTTTCTATCCTAGACATTGGTTAACTGTGGAAAATTTGTTCCCAGAAGTGTGATCTGTGCAGCTGTTGGATCAGTCCTGCTGTAAATTCGACATATATATCATGACTGTTTATATAATAAACAATCTGTTGTTTCATGGTTACAGAAAAGGTTGTGCTCAAACCTCATGATGTTTCAGTGTTTACGACTCTGAGTGTTAATGGACGGCTGTTTGCTTGCCCACGTGATCAGTTTGATTCATTGGTATGTATGTATGCAGTTCTCAGGAAGTTCAGTTCTTCTCTTCATTTGAACACTTGACCTTTTTTGCATTATCATGCTTTAGGTAAAAGCTAATGGAAACATTCACAACAGAGGGCTTGTCACAGTGCTGTGGGATGAGCCCCAAAATTAAAACAAGGTAATGTAATTCCCTAAACTAGAGCAGAAATCCACCCGATCCACATGACAGCACTCGATCTCAGTATTCTGTCACACTGAGCATTTAGGTAGATCCGAATATTGTCACTAAGATATGCAGAAATTCCCGATTACAGAAGTGTCTACTCAAGGCCACAGATAGATATTTTTGAAGATGGATCTTACTAATTAAAGCATTCTGAGGACTTGATTCCAACAGTAAATTGCTAAAAATATTCTACTTCTCAGCCCCACAAAATACTGTGTCAGTATCTCAGATGACTCTAATATATTCACAGAAAATATTCCTGGTAGAGGGTCTGTTTTTTCTTAGGTAGAATTGTTCATAAGTACTCACGGTTTATACAGTAATTCTAACAATCTCCATGGGGTCTGCTTTTATAGAATTTGATTTGACTGTACTTTTTGTTCCTTTTATTTCATTAAAAACAAATGTCATTGCCAAGTCGTGTCAGCATGAACTCTATTACTCCTAGCCTTGTTTCAGCCTCCTGTATGCTTTTAACAAGCCACTTAGTATGTATGCCTGATTTCTTTTATCGATATGGTAAAATCTGTGCTTTGCTGCTGCTTTCAATTTAGTAACCAGGGAATGCACATCCAGCATACTGTAGCGACATGCAGAGATACCTCTTGTTCAGTTTATTAAATTCTGGTGTTCCCTTAAGGTTAATTAATCCTGCCAAGTAGATACCCTCATGGGGCATGATACTCTAAAGCGGGGGTGTTGCATCAGTGCAACTGTGCTGGGTACTTTTATATGTCTCTGCATTGTCTGTGTAGATATAGTTTTGGCAGGAAATTGTCATGACTTTCTGTGCCTTTTTGCTGATGCTATTTACCATGGATCAAGTACTCGGAATGCTAGAATAAGCTTTAAAATACAGGGATGCAATGTGCTAGTTTTCTTCAATTGGACTGACTTGAGTAGTCGTTAGGGAGGAACACTCAGCACCTTAAAAGAGATTCTCAACACTGCATGACAGAATACATCCCTTTATCAGCTGCATTTTTTCAAATAGGCATAAACAAATTGCAGAGTGTTACAGCCTCACTTGCCTCCCAGTTTAGCCCCTTCACATTTCAATTTGTGGCTGCTGCCTATGCATGTACATTTATTCACATTACTCTTGGCGATTCCCGTGTGAAAATTGTTCTGGGTTAGATTAATTTTCAGATACGCAATGAGCTTACTTCTAAGTGCTTCTTTCCTAGCCTTGGAAAATATGTGTTTGTTATGGTAACAGCTACATTGTGTTTGTCTCCAAATAGGGGAAAAAAAGCCTTCTTTCAGTCTTTGGTCAATTCTCTTTCCACAGATTTCCACAAATTTAGGATTTTCTACACCAAAATGCTCAACTTTTATTTCATACTCTTAGACTGAAGAAGTGTTGTGTTTATGCAGATCTCGATCCAGAGCAATCTGCAGGCTGTTATAAGATTGATGGCAGTCCTGGGTCTTTTTAGATAATACTTATATACACTATTTTTTCTTTTAAAATTGTAGAAGAAGCTTTTAAGGTAATAATGCCTGTGGTTTAGCTTAGTAATTTTAAATTATTCTATGATTTGAAAGGCAAGTTTTCCTTAGAGTACAAAGCAGGAACTCATACAGAAATGATCCTACATGCTGTGTTATGGAGGGAGTGATTTGATGTATTAATCCAGTCTGTCCTTTTTCTATTGATAATATAATCTTCCTACATAAAAGGATAAATGTAAATATGATCTGTTAATCTTGCAGACTCTATTGAGTTTGTACTCGAAAAGGAGCCTGTTGATAATTCCCTGCTCCGTAATTAGCTAACAAAGGCCCTATGAGAAATTGAGAAACTTGGAAGTGAACTCTACTGCCCTCTCCTGGAAACTAAACAATTAAAACGTGGGTTCTCAGGGAGCTACTACTTCAAATCTGACTTGATCTCAAGCCATGTTTTAAATCTCTTTGATACAAGATTTACTTGTCTACAAAACTGTGTATCTCATCTCATTTTTGGGGTGGTATGGAAGTGTCTTTCAAAATGTTTTAACTTGAATGAGTTAAAGGATTCTTTCTCCTAAGACTCTGAGCATATAATTCTAATTAGCATAGCCAGGAGTTTTGCAGTCACAAATAGTGCATCCCTGTACTGTCAGAGAGAAAGTATGAGGCTTATTTTATAAATGGTCAGAAGATCTTGCAATCACTGCAGATTTCTGAAATATGGCAGATGTAATAATTCTCATCACTAGAATCAATAATTTTGCAGAAGCATTTGGCTTGCGCTTTGTGATCTAGATATTTGTGTATACAAAAAAGGAAACTGATAACAAAAGCTTTGTGGAAAGACCTATGCTCCTAAACAGACATGCTTTAGTTAGTGCAACGTGCATTGAAGTATTTATTTCTGGCTTCAAATTTTAGAGCAATGCTAAAAATAACACACTGAGAACAGTCTGTGTTATTTCCTTACAGTGCCTCTGAAGAGCTTTCAGAATTTTCCTGACTGTCCTGTGCATAATGGATACTGATTTTGCACAGGGCTTCGCATTTCCTAAATGCCAGCCTGTAGTTAAAAGCAAATTTCAGTTTTGCTGTTAGAAACTTGCTTAGGAAAGTGGTCACATAAGGAAAAAAAAGGTCAGAAATGTTATGGAACTAGAGCACCAGTCATGGAATGTAGTATTTCTAAAATATTTTTATGGCATTTTTCCATTTGTAGGCACCATTACCAGAACAGGAAGGACCATCGACGGGTACAGTAGGAACGTTCGAACTGATGAGCTCCAAAGACTTAGCACATCAGTTGACAATTTATGACTGGGAGCTCTTCAACTGCGTGCATGAGGTATGAGGATCTATTCTCTACGGCAGATTAGAATCTGTTAGAAAATGTTTAGTTTCACATTGTAGGTTTGTGCTTAACTCGCAAAACTTTCTCTAAGCTTGATCTTCAAAAATACTACAATAAAGCCACCTACAAGTTTTGAAAGTGTGAGGCACTCTTAATGGTTTAGGCAAAATGCAAAAACAAAGTTAAACTTCTCCTGTGCTTGTGCTGCTTACTGAATTGCTTTTGTATGTTTTAAGGTATCAAACTATTTATATATAGTCTGTAGTTATGTTTTTAGTATGCCTCAGCTATTGTCTACTGGGTTTGCAACCTGCATCCTTGTCATTTACAGCAATAAACATAAACTGCAGAGCAAGTTTCAGGCTAGATGCTTACCTGGTCATTGTTAGCCTTCTTCCTCTGTCCAAAAGGTGAGATTTCTAAAACAAAATATCCCGAACTGTTTTCTTTTTCCTAGCTGGAACTGATTTATCACACTTTTGGGAGGCACAATTTTAAAAAGACCACAGCAAACCTGGACTTGTTTTTAAGAAGATTTAATGAAATTCAGTTCTGGGTGGTCACTGAGATTTGTCTTTGCGCTCAACTCAGCAAACGTGTTCAGCTGTTAAAGAAGTATATAAAGATAGCAGCCCAGTAAGTATACAGTCATCTGTGAGCTGCAAATGAGGTTCAGTATAGTCAATTTGTTGTCTTTTTTCTTTTTTGTTTTCAGACAACCACACAGCAGAGATTAAAATGTTCTCTATTTGGTAATTCTGTCCATTTCCTTATAGAGCTGTATCGAACCTTGTTTATAGTCTTCTTTTGTGTCCTACTTTCCATTGCTCCTTGATCTGTGATCTCTTAGAGCCATGCATTCACATCAAATTTGTGAGTAAATATATTTCAGTTCATTAGGAGAATCCTTCATTTACCCTTACATGCATTTTCAAATATTAATATGCAAACTAGTAAATATTAACAAAATTGAGCCTTAATTTTCCTCAGAACAGCAGTGTTTGTCGTGCTGTTCAGGAAGACTCATCTCAGAATTGCTCTGAGTGGGAAAATCAAGAGGGAAGAGCAAAGAGATGTAGTATGGGGATGATGAGGCTTATGTTACCTTCAGTCTTCTTGGGATATTTTTGTAATACTTTTGTTTGAAAATACAACAATAAGAATATCCTTTTTTGTTACTAACTACTGGGCCTGAACTTGGATAGCAGGCAGTTCTTGCTTTTTTCTATTCCTCTGTTCATATTAAGACTTAAACTCCTTGGAGCCTTCATGCCAAAGATGTTGGCCTTGACTCCTTATCACTGAAGCAAGGGTGTGACAGAGCGGGAGCAGGGACGTGCTCCTGCCCCCTTCATAGCTATAGTTTTATATCACTGTTACCTGCTTCCTTACTTTGCAGTTCATGGTGTACTTATTGCATTCATCACTGTCTGAACAAACATTTGGCTGAGGTGTGCAGTGAGGAACTGCCTGTATTAAGTGTCTATGCCTTTGGACACTGTGGCCATTAGACAGTCTTGCCGAACAAAGAAATTCTTACTTGCAGTTAAACCATAAGTTTATATCATTGAATGTAGTTGTGTGAAGGAAGAGGTTACTGTTAGAGCTGTGTGCCACCCTCCTCCCAGTTAGTAATTCCACATAGCTGAAATCAGGGTTCACATCAGAACTCTGCGTCAGCATGCCTACCTCCTCTGGGAAGGACCCTGCTCTCCCTGTACCGGCTTCCTCTGGGAACTGCTTTGGGCTCTCCGGTCAGATTACAGTTGGTCGAAGCTGACCATTTCAAACTCTATTGGTGGGCACGCAGGACCAGGTTTATATTCAGAACAGAGGACAGAATTTACCTCTCTAGTTTTTTAAAACATGTATACCGCATATTCCATTATGTCATTCTGCAGAGCGGAACTGGGAAGCAAGCTGCCAGCCTGCGGGCTGTGTCCAGGAGAGGGCACTGGCACCCGCACACAGAGGCATCTGAGTCTGTTCTGAACTCAGGCATGAAACGGGAAAACGTTGAAATGTGGCGAATTAAGAAACAATAGTCATTTCCATAAACACTTGAAATCAGCTATCCTAAAAATTACAATTAAATGTCTGCTTAATAAACTGCCCTCGCTCGTGGGTTCCTGAGTGTCATGGGTTTAATCCTATGCTATTTACAACAGCTTGACAACCTCCTGTTTACTTCCATGTTTCTGGTATCACTACAATGCTAAAAATAAACAGCTAAAAGAAGTCTGCTCTGCTGAGCCCTCTTTGTCTCCTACCAGCAGAGCAATGTGAGGCACAAGGTTTTCCTCCTTGCAGATGGAGCAGGCAGGTTGAATTGCAGCTGCTGGAAAGGCCACAGGGAAGTTTGGCAGGCTGCTGCCCTCAGCACATGCCGTGCTGCCATGGGAACAGGTACCACAGCATACGGTAAAACAAACACTGAAGTTAGTGGGACAAAAAGGCAAGGAACTGGATCAAAAGATGTGGGCCCAGGCCTTGAAGCAGTGTCTTTGAGGAAGTTTCGCTTGTGAAGAGACCTAATGAGAACTGTACCCTACCTAGAAGCACTAGGCTCGTTAGAAAAGTGTTTGGGGAGAACAGCTCAGTGCTGCACTATTAACTTTAGGGATGACTGATGGCAACGAGGTGCCTTGCACATACTGATTTTCAAAGCTAGCTGAGAGCCCTGTTTCAGCTCTGCACCTTGGGGCTCTGGAACCATCACAGAAGGCACATCGTTCTGTGTCTGCCACCCCACGCACCCTGTGATGTGTGCTCCCTGTCTGTGCAGGCAAGCACAATGCCAAGTGCTGGCTCCAAGTGCTGTGCACGTGTACTTTCAGTTCCGGGAGCTGCTGCTGTCTTTGCATCTGCAGGGAAAGGATGTAGAGGTTACCAGGTTCATCTCTTTTCTCCAGTCCCTGTAGGATTAAACTTTCAAACAAAGGGGAAAAGTGAACTGTATTTCCTACAGTGAGGTCTTCCCATATTAATTGTATCAGAAAGGCCTTCTAGGATGTACATGCACATATGCTCATGGATATGTGCAAAGCAGGTTTGCATGTATTTACGCTTCGCATATATACCACAAGCTGTTTAGAAACCTTCTTGTATATCACTATACTCAGACACTTCCATTCAGTTGCTGAAAATCATTCTTTCTATACACATGCATATGTTACAAGCCCAAGGAGCCTGTAAGAAGTTTTTAAGGGTGTGTGTTCACAGAGAAAATGCCAGGAGCAATACGCTCGTGTAAGTACCAAGAGGTTTTAAGCACGCATGGTTGTGTTGGAGACAAGTGTGTGCACATGTGTATTTTCACAGTTCGTACTTACAGGAAGTTTTTTCCAATACAGTCTGTTCTGGGAGGCAGAGAGGGACCTCTGCTTTGCACACACTGTGGTGCCTTGGGGGATCCACTTTCTGACATTTTACAGGCAGCATATATGCAGTGGAGCCATGCAGCACTGTTTCTACTACCTTAAAGTGGTCCTCTGTTTGGAACTGAGTTATTTAGTGTAGAGCCTGTAGAATTTACAGAATATTTGATGTAGAATGTCATACATCTAGATGGATTTTAAATTTTAAATTACATTACTTAACAGGTGTTTTGCTAAACTTTTCCTTTTTAAAATGAGATTGAAATTACGTATTGTAGATGCATTTGCAGCTGCCTACCATGTTTCAGCACTACTGCTGTGTAGTACTAGTTATTTTCTCAATGCCACAATTTATTCTCACTGTCCCAGGCTGTGGACAGATATCCCGTCCTGGATTTAGTTGTGCCTGGGGAAGAGGTTATCACTCACAGCCTACCCTGGCTGCTTTTCATCCTCATCTCCCATCAGATCCCCTAACGAGGCATCCCCTGACCTGCCCTAGTCAGAGTAAGTTGGCTAACCTTTCTCACTGTCCCTAATCTGATGTGGGAGAATTTGTATGAGCAGCTCTGCCAGAAGATCTGAGGGGGCAGCAGTGTCCAACAAACAGACCATCAGATGGGAGAATTCATCTTCTCACACACTCGGTGTTCACACAGGGCAGGCACAAGCAAGGCCCGATCTACAGAACTCACCCACTCAATACACTGAGTCTGGTGAAATGGAGGGAGAGAAAAAACAGAACAACAGTAAAGTGATGTGGCAGTTATGGAGTCCACCACTAGGATTGATGATTGTACTGATTCCATCAGGAGCTGAGGATTCCTCAGAGGAGCCTACGAGCTTCAGCAATGAATAAAGAAAAAGCTATCTGAGAATCATAGCTTGAATCTCATGGAAATTTTCTTAGGAAACAGCAGAAGACCCAGCAGACTGAGGTGCTGAAATCAGATCTTGGCAAATGTTGTGAAAAAAGAAAATTATTTGCAGGAACCTAGTGAGAGACAGATTTATGAGATACAGGCTTTGTTCTCTCTCTTTCCTTCCCATTGAGACAATGAGCCACCTGATGCAGTCCCAGCTGAGCAGCTGTGTGGGCTGTTCCTGTCAGATTGTGTCTACTCCTGCATATGGTGTATTGGATCTTCCATAATACTCAGCTACATGTTCCAGTTTTTCCTGATGTTAACAAATTTCTCTTTTGCATTAGGGATTAAGCATGATCTAGAGCTCCTAATATCCAGGACCTGGATAATTAATGGCAGTTTTTTGCTTGAAATGTCCTGAAGAGTTCCAGAATCTACAAGTCCTAGTTAGAAATCACATCTGGTGAGAGAGGTCACTGACACACAGGCATCCCTACACAGCTGGTCTTCTCCCTTTGAAAAGACTCAGTGCCCCTGTAAACTGCAGTGAAGATTGTCTAGGGACAACTTCTAGTATTCAGTAGCTGTTCAGAAGCTGTCAGCAAGTTCTGCAGCAAATGAGGTTGTAAACCAGTTGCTTCCACTGTTTCTGGTATTCCCTGGGACTGTATCGAGCCCAGTTTGTGTTCTAGGGCTGTGTTTCTGGGCAGAGTGGAGCTTCAAAGACTCTAATGTCCTTGCAGAAGCTGTCACCCAGTGAAGTGGAAGCAGGAGGTCATTTTAGGAGAGAGAGGGGAAAGGAACCTCCAGAGTGTGGTGAATTACTCACACGTTGGTGAAGCGGTGTGCCGCAGGCATGTAGGGCCAGGGCTGCCCAAATACAGTCGATCTATGCTAGTTGCACGGGTTCAGCTCTCTTAAGGTTGTCGTGTGGACTTCTGCCCTGACTGATACATACAACTTAAAACCTGGTACTTTGTGTTTCAGCTGTAAGGAATACAAAAATCTGAATTCCTTTTTTGCTATTATTATGGGACTGAGTAATGTTGCTGTGAGCCGTCTCTCGTTAACATGGGAGGTAAGTCTTCATTAAAATCCGATTCCAAGAAGTTTGACTGGAATTTGTACTTTTAGTTAGCAAAAAACATCACTTGGGCCTTTATTATTTATAATAATTAGATCTACTAAATCAGCACCTTTAGATTAGGCTGACAATTTTTATTAGTAAGACGGTATGCCCATAGGTGTGTTGGATACTCAAGCAGGTCATAAGAGTGACAACAGCAGCTTCTGCTGATGCGCCAAACTGCCCAACAGGATGAGCAAGTTAGCCAGTTAACCTCTCAGATCAGCCCATCCTCTGACTCATTCAGTCATTCAGAGAGATCACTCCATAGATACTTCTCTAAAATCCGTCCTCTGTTTATACATAGTATTTTCTGATCTCCATATGGAATCTATTGCCCTGTTAAAATGTGGGTTTGTCCTAACCAGGTTTCGGTTTTTTCTCTGACGTTCCCCTTCTTACTGTCAGTTGGGTCTTCATTCTCAGAGCTTCCACCTTTTCTGTTGCTTTGCTCTTTTATATGTAAGTATATATAAGGCCAGGATTTGCAGATCCATTTCTCAAAATAATGGCCATTTGTGACTACTGAGAGGAACACTTGGGAGATCTGAGTTAGTACAGGAGTAGTATGAAGAGAGAACAGAGAATTTAATGTATAAACTACATACAACAATCTGAAGTGGTTGCAGGGTCTGTGCTGGAGTGGCACAGATCATTTGTAGGTGTGGGGTACGAAATGTTACCACGCTGTGGTTATGTAGGGTACTCAGTTAATCAAGAGAACCTCTGCAGCTTGATTTTTAGCCAGATAGATATACAGACTATACTTAAAAACAAACATATCAAGACCTGATTTTTGCTATATTATCATGCATTTACAGTAGTTGTATGCACAAATTAGGTATTTGCAGGTGCAAATGTCCAATTATACCACTTATTTCAGAAATACCTAATCTGCATGCATATGCAAACTAGGCACACAGTTGTTGACACACATCATTAAAAATTAGGCCCTTGCTGTGGCACAGTGTAAATAGCTTGCTAGGGTACACACTCCAAATGTAGAAAGTATTGCAAAAAATCATTTCTGCACTGTAAAGTCTCTATTAATTTTTAGTGTTACCCGCTGCCAGTAATAGTCAGATTTAATCAGCAAATATGGAGAAATTTCTTATTAAAACTAGAAAGCTGACATAGTCTGGGTGTGGATAAAACATTACTGTGTTCTCCGAAACTAATTTATAACGTATCTTACGCTCTTCAGAGTAGAATTATTTAATATTTATAACAACACGATAGGGAAAGAAAATATGTAGTAAAGCCAATCTCATCCTAATCACTGCATGATCAACTGACCATGAGTAACTTGCGTAGGTATTGTGGACTGAAAAGCTGTTAATTAATGTGTACCCCAGAAAGCAGTTGGCAGCTGGGCATGTCAAGAACTTAAGCAATAGTTGATGATACATCAGCATGAACAAAAAAAGTCTCCTGGAAATGCCCAGGCATGGATTTGAATGTAGCAAGGGCAGTTCATCATAGGTATGAATAATTAAGCTGAGCCACCCCTACGCAAGCTGTGTGTAAATTATGTTTTCAGATAGGCTATAATCAGGAATGTCCTGAAACCAGTGACTTGAACTTTCATGTGCATTCTGAATTCAGTGATTGCGATGTGTGCCAAATGAAAATCTGAATCTGAACATCCCAAAGGAGTAAATTCAAGTTGGGGTTTAAATCAGGATCCAGGTTTCATGGCTGGTCCCGTCTCTATTTATAATCTGGTTGCTAGGAAACGTGTTGTATTTTAGATTAGCACATTGTTAGAAATATCTGGCAAAAAGAGCACTTTCCTGACTTAAGGTGTTGTAGAAGGAACTAGCATTTACAGTAAAATCATCACACAAATTGGATTTAATTAAGGTTTTCTATTTTTGTTTTTATTAACAGAAACTTCCAAGCAAGTTCAAGAAGATCTATGCAGAGTTTGAAAGCTTAATGGTGAATAGCAATGGATCCCTTATTCTATGCACAATCTGAGCTAATTCAGTTTCTGAGTAACTGATTTGAATTCCTTGATTCAGAACATTTTATATGTCCTTGTTTGACTTTAAGAAGTTTATGATCCCATTTTAGAGCTGCTAAAACAAGTATGTATGACTAATAAATTATACTCTTAGGAACCTACTCTGGGAGAACTTATGTACCACTCAAAGTTAATCTGGGAACTCAGAAAAGCTTTATCACATGTTTTCCAATAGTACATATGGGAAATTATATTTTCCAACCTGGATTTTTCCAGGCGTTACATTTTAGTGTTACAACATAAGCAAAACTGGATCTGCAGCTGCAAGGAGGGAAGAGAAATGTGTGGTTCCTCTTATGAACTTTTTTCTGTAGTCATACCTTACCTTGCTATTCGGCATGAAAAATGTTTGTGTTTAGTGGCTGTGTTCTCATCATGTAAGTTCTATGGGAGACTGATAAAAGACATCTGAGTTTTCAGACACACTTTTAAAGCCACAGGATAAAATAATGATTTTAATAAATGCCGTGACATCTAAATGAATGCATACAGTGTCTTGATACTATAATAATACATATTAGTAATTATTTGATTTCTCTTTTTTCTTAAGGATCCATCAAGAAACCATAGGGCCTACAGGCTAACCGTAGCTAAATTGGACCCTCCAATAATTCCTTTCATGCCACTACTTATAAAAGGTAGGCTTGGATGTTACCAGAATTATTAACTTGAAAGCTATTTGTCAAATATTTGAAGAATAAGAGTAGCAGCAAAAAAAAAGCAAAAATCAATCTCAGTGTGAGGTATGATCTTTTTCCATTATAAAAAGCATGGCACAGAGACAAGAAAAACTGCTTGGTACATCTGAATACCATACCTCAATTTTACTAGTCTCAGAAATGCTGCAAATTAAAAACTAAATGTTTTATAGTCGCTTTGATTTTTCTAAGGGATAGATAAAATGTTCTGCTGTTTTGTATGATCACGATTCAGTAATGGGCTTTTATGTGGCTTTTATTTCTATCCAGACATGACGTTCACTCATGAGGGAAACAAGACCTTCACTGACAATCTAGTAAACTTCGAAAAAATGGTATGTATGCCACACTTTAAATGAAAGACCTCCCTGTTCATCTCTTCAAGAGAGAACTTCTCAACGATGATTTCCAGGGTTAGAGAAAGTGAAGGCAGGACCAAGAGCTGGCAAAAATAGTCTGTGTTGTGCACAGCGCCT